TGAAGCGGTTTTGAAAAATGTTGAAGCGAAAGACGCAGCGGCAGCTCAGCCAACCGATCCATATGATCGCTTATTGAGATATCGCCATCGAGATCAACCGACGATTCATACGAGCCGACAGTCAGTTTCTGCAGAATCAGACAGAACGGGCGAAGCGAAAACACGCGACAGCGGGAATAGCAGCGGAGATAGAAACTGATAATTCTAATAATGAAGCGACCCTGAATGACGAGCAGTGACGGGATCATATCGCGAATCTGCAGACGGTCCATTTCTCGCACGTAGTTGGGATGATTTACGGCCGCGGGCTAATAGAACAGGCCGGGACCATCGCACATCGACAGAAAATGTTTTGTCTTTTTAATATCGATTGACATCGTTTTCTACAATTCGCCTCGGCCTAGTTCGAGCCCTTATCGACGCTAAAAAAGCGCAAGTGAATCTTGTGAAAAAACACAGCCGCGGAATAACAGATCTGGCGGCGGCATTGGCTCCAGCAAGCCGATATAGCGCAGGCGGTGCAGCGGCTGATCTAACGATCCAAACTCAAACTGCGGGAAATACAAGGCCCGACATTGCAGACGATTCAGAATCGCGAAAGCCCAATAATCGCGGTGATACCTACTGAGAACAATAAAAGTATGCTATTTCTGCTCCCGGTCTACTTAGAGCCTAGAGGAACCACTGTGATCGTGATCCCGTTAATCACACTGTGGCAAGACTTCCAGCGACAATGTTAGCAACTAAATATTACTTGCGCGATGTAAAAGAACCAGCGGCCCTCAAACGAGATTTCGATTGTGTTAGTCATATCTGAATCCGCGGTGACACCCGATTTTCATTTGTTCTTAAACCGGCTACATATGATGCAGTGGCTAGACCGCATCGTAATTGACGAATGCCATATTATTCTACAAAGTCTTGAATCTGGTTTGGAGTCATCTGAATTCTGGCTCGCGTTACAGCGGCTTGGAAAGCTTATTCACGCGCGTACGCAATTAGTACTATTAATCGCGATCATGTTTTTTATCGCGAAGCAGACTCTGTTCGAACGAATTGATCACGCGTGAAAAAAAATCCGGCTATTTTGTGCGCGGATCATCCGTTCGAATATCCAATATTTTATATAACGACCTGAATTCCCTTCCAAGATTAATCACAATCCGCACGCATGAATTGAGAACGATATCGTCTAGGTTGAGATTTAATGGTTGATTCGGCAGATCAATCGCAGAAAAACAGTCCTTTACATTAATATGATTAATCAAATTGAAACTATTGCCCAAAAACTCGATTATGAAACGTACACCAATCAGGCGGTTGACCGATCCGAAGTGTTAAAATGATTTGTTGACAATCGCAGCCCGATTATCGCGGCTATTAATGCGCTAGATATGAGTGTCGATATTTCTAATATCTGGCTTATTATTCACATCGACATGCCGCGGACTTTGCTCGATTATGTGCAAAAAAGCGATTGTGCAGGCCGTAACGAACAGACAAGCGTAGCGATAATTATTCAACCCGCAGGATGAAATGAATCCGCAGCGTAAATGGCTGATACATCCGCACCGGAGATCGAACGGGTGCAGAAATATATAACAGCCCCATGCAAACGACAAATGCTCGATCTGTACTTGAATGAATATCAACGAGCGAGATGCGCGGCGGACAAGATCCCGTGTGATCGGTGTCAACCGATTGATATAGCGGCAGAAATAGACAGACAGACCGAGCAAACTGAAAATCAGAATCCAGATCACTATGCAGACCAGCGTTCAGAACCTCAAGATATACAAATGAATCAGAATGCAAATTAAAAAATAGACGGGCAAACAAATTATCAAACAAACAATTCAATCAGTCCGCTCCATAATCTCATTGATTTTTCATCCAATCCATTCAGCAGCAAATCGTTTATATTCCAGACCGGCTCACTCTCGCAAAAACCGCCCCCGTTCTCCCACAAGCCCCCCCAATGGACCCGAGCCAATATCCAGGCCCGGCAACAAGCCATGCGCGTCGAACTAACCGAGAAAACGATCATCGCGGAAAGTCCGCGGTGACAGAATCAATGCTATATTTGCACGATACAAAACCGAGATGGGGCCAATTATAATCTATACAGATGCCGTGCAGCCGACAGCCAGACAGTCAAGCAATGGATGATGCGGATGCGGTGACAGATCCGGTATGTCCGATTCAGCGCGTGTTTTCAATGCGGTATGCTCTAGGCCGTGCGCCCGGAGTGGGAAGACTGCTTGCAGTGCGCGTATTGCGGGATCCTGATTCCCATGGTGGCGGCGATGGCGTATAGATTTCAGACAGACGCCATCCGGCCGATTTGGCAGGCCCGGTTAGCGAAAGCGGGAGTGGATGATCAGGATATAAACGAGATAGCTGCGTTTTTAGGCCAAGTTGAACGGCCCCGGCGTAGTCAGCTATTCGATATATATTGCTGGCTATGGGGGATATATTGAAAAAAAGAGAACTTGTAAAAGGATTAGTTAGGATTTTTCGGAATAACAATATATATATATGTCACTATACGTACCTGTTTTTCTACATTATCGTAAATTTCCTGTTGTAGACATCGCCGCTTTACTGAGGGCGCTCAGGGGCTTGCTCAGTGAGTAATTCACATCATGGTTCACCGTTCAGTGAGCACTCAGTCGGTGCTCACCCTGTGCTCACTGAGTGGTGAGCGGTGAGTTCTGCCATACACACCCCCCATTTATTTTGCACGGGTAGTTCGACCGCTGTGACAGATGAACAGCTCTCAGGATTTTGAAGTTGTTAAATTACCATGAACAGTGACGCAAGTCGAAATATGATGGAGAGTATCTGAACACGTGTGCTGACCTAAAAGTGAAGCGTACATTCAACACAAGTGCGATGATGATCATTTTTAAGAAAGCTATAAAGGCAGGTATCCTCCTTCCTCCATGACAGTCAATAGCATGGAAGCAAGATTCCTGTATCCCCTGAATGCCCTTTCCCTTTTGTTATCCATCTGATTATTCAATTTTCTATTCTCATAAAGTTCTACGTTCGATCGTTTTGCAGCTAGCTGACGAGACGATGGGCAAAAGAACGTTTTTCCGGAATGAGGACATAAAGAGAAAGTGCCGTGAGCGGCGGGCAGCAAATGGATATGTTGCAAAGGCTCATCAAGACGAAGATTCCGTGAGAAAAAGGCATGAGCGGACAGAAGAAACAAAAAATCTGCATAAGGAAAAGGTGGCAGATTATCAGGAGTGAGTTGCCTATGGATGGAATATCTTGTTCTTAAGGTCTGCTAACACAATTTCATCAGGTTTGTGATAGAAGAAGGGTACGAGTCATTAGGATATCGGATTAAGCCTGGCTGTCTAGCACCAAGCATCGTCGTTATCAAAGATTTTATCCGCTCGTACGTCCGTATCGTTAAAGGCACGGGGCGGCTCAGTCAAAAAAAAAACGGCCATGGTGAGGACCGCCACAGTTTATGCTGAGCAATTCTTTGGTGGTTTTGAGGAAGCAACTGGCAGTAAAATCGTGTCAGACGACCGTTCGGAGATTTATTCGGTATGCAGATTTTCGCTTCTCAAAGATAGTCAGCTAATCTGGTTGGAGTGGAAAAAAAAAAATTGACGGAAGAAGGTGAAGTTGAGAACATTAAAAAACAGAAGTTCAATTTTGACCGAAATGATTTCACCGATTTTGTAACGTCAATGTGGATTCGCGATTGTCCCATCTTCATGCATGGACTTCTCAAGGTGTCCATTCTGTTTGCGCTACAGGTTTTTCTCTTCACGAGAGCAAGAATTGGTGCCTTCATCCCAGAATCGAAACGCAAAAGCCAACGAGAACTCCGATATAGGGTAAGATAATCTGATCCAAGTCCATTGTTCACGGGCAGACTCTTGCTGACTACCAACAGCATATTCAGCTAGTGCTCTTTCGCAGTCCGAATCGAGACGAACCTTGGAAGATAGGTTGGCGAGTCAATCAACAATGGCTGAAAAAAAACCGAAATGAAAACTACACGGTGTAGGTGCCTTTGGGACGAAACCATGATTTCTTTTCCTGCATCGCAGGCGTTGTTGCTGACCGACTGAGTAGTTTCGGCATCGGCATCCGTGATGACAGCCGACCGCAATTTGCATCCGGCTTACTGCTCCTTGTCATTGCCCTCGCACATGGGGCTATCTCTGGCATCAATTCATTGGCCGACTTGGCTCAGTTTGACCTTCGTGACGGGCGCACCACCGAAATTCCGCTCAGTTGGAATCCAGACGCTTTGAATAAGCCAGTATTTCGAAATGTTACCGCCAAAGGTCCACAGGAGGTGGCCCTCAATAAAGAAAGATTTTGTACCTTGTTTCGTTCACTCCTTACTGCAGCAGGTTATTCAAAGCACGCTACCATCCACGATATCCGTCGAGCACTGGGCAAGAAGATTGAAGATGTGTTGTAGTTGACCCCCACTTAACTGTGCATTGAGAGCTAAACACGTCTCACAGCAAGGCATGGCTCTGCACCCGTATCCCAAATATACGTTCATCGGTCCGAATCCACCTACCCTGAACATTATCAGGCGCACTGTTCATCCATTGACACCGTCGGTGATGTTTTGGATGAGGGGGAGGAGACATACCACATAGAATATTTTCAGAGCTATCGACAATTTCGGGAAGTAGGATTTCCTTGCGAGCTACCAGCGGAGATGGAAGTAGCCATAATGAAGATGCCCGAGATTGTCGAAGTTAGAGACTGCATTGAGCAATTTCTCGACAACGCAGACCATTTCGATGCCGCGGAAAAGGAACGAGAGTATAGGAAGCTCTATACTTGTATTCGACTCTCCGAGCTGCATCGCTTCCAACATGAATGGATACAAGAAAGAAGACAGCGTCGAGTCCTTAACAGAGGAAAGAATGAACCAGATTGGCCCGAAGGCAACACTCGCACGCGTGCATTGGCCCTCATTATGCCAGAACTGGACCATTTGGGAGCGACTCTATCCATCTTCAAGCAACTTACCTTTGATGAAAGACTGCTCTTTGTGGAACAACTATTGACACAGTGCCGCCGTGATTACGACATGATCTATTTTCCCGGTGAGACGCCGACGGACGATAGAAAATGTCCTGTGCATGATTGCTGAAAAGACCTTCAGAGTCTCACACTCACACGCAGCGACCGAAGCGCTCACATTCATGACTGCACTCGTGGAGACATAGCCCGACGTCTGCATATCGGTGAATCAGACTTACGGTACTGCTACGAGTGTATGACTTGATGCCCGCAGGTAGAGTGGCGTGATCACTGCAGTTATCATCTGCAATTCTGGAGTGATCTCTATTGTGAAGTCGTTATATGTCGTTATACTGTTATTTGTCTCGGCTACTGCTCTTGTTGTGTGTGGAATCAAGGCCTCCCAGCCGACGAGAGATTGAAGTATTGGACATCGAGCGCGAATCTGAGGAAGCATCTTGAACATAAGCATATTGTTGAGATCGAATGGCCCACAACAGATCCCATATGTGGCTGTCCACAGACATTTGCATTGGAGCAAGAATTCCGATATCATCTACATGACGTGCATGGTCTGACCGATGGAATCTGGAAATCCAGAAAACCATCATTAAAAAGGAAGAGAGACGTCAAGGCAGGAGTGGGTTGTGTGGAGGAGAAAGTCCATGGGCCAAAACCGAAGAAGATCCAATTCTGACACTATCAACCCCATCAGCCGCCGCAGATAGGGCATTCATATGAATCACCCATGCCAACCCTCACGCATGCTCCAACCTCAAAGCCGTCCCTTTCTATCTCTAGGGAATATGCACGCCCTTTCTCTATTTCCAGCAGAAATGTGGCTAGCAGCCTTGTTAGCGAGGACGGTAACACTGACTTTTCAGTTCCCTCGTCTCCCTTAAGTTCACTCCGCATCACACCTGATCTCGAATTCATTGATCCCAGGATCTTGGATCCCATTTGGCCCAAGGACGATTGTTTGCACTCCATTGACGGCATTTGCCCGGCTGTCTGTACCGAGAATGGGGTTCCTCGCACTGGCTCCGAAGAACTGCGCAATGACCCGGTCATTATTCAGCCTGTTCGCCATACAGACTTTCACGAAGCTTTAACTAAAGTGTTCCACACCATCGCAGAAAGCACCTCTGCGAATACTCCCGCCGTTTGTCCGAGTATCCATTTGAGTAGCCCCGACATTGGCTCAGGAGATAAACCACCTAATCATCAGAAAGATAACGTTCTAAGTTCTTTGTTTATCAAAGTCTCCCTTCAGACTTCATTTAGCAAGGGACCTATAACTCGATCGAAGGCTAGAGCCACGTTGAGCGAGGTTGCACATAGCAACTCTCGTGAGAGGCTGTATCAGACGATAAAGGGCCAAAGCTCAAGACGGAATCAAGCCACATCTCATTTGTTTCGCAAACAGTCTCTACGATAGATTGGGGAGGGCATAGGCCAGAGCTCGCTTCGGCGAATCACACGGTCGCAAGCCAAGAGAAAGTGATCATCTGTAGTTTCTTGAGGGCTCTCAACCCGATTCGCAGTTATCTCGTTAGAGCAAGCTGTCAGACTTGTGCAACAAATCGTTTCAAGCGTATGATCATACAGTATAGCACCCTTGCGACGTGAAACATGGCTTCTGCCACATAAGTTTTCGTCCGGGGTGAATTTGATACACTTCCTCCCCTCACCTTCCTACTACGTGCTGCCTTGTTGTATACTTAACTTTAAAATCGCACCGCTGACGCTGTTGGAAATCATCCTAATACATGCCTTAATTTAATTGATTGTACAGTTGCATTGACTAATTCTTTATGTGAGGAAAATTCAATTGAATCGATCCGGGTGATTGCTATCATGGTCATCAGTCAATGATTTTTTACAAGTTATCCATAGATCAAGGGAGTAATGCTAAAAAAAAGGTCCCAGCGTCGTCCTTGGGTCGCTACTTCCTTCATAATATATACTTCTCGCGGTAATTACTAAACACAGATATACCATCTGTGCACTGCCACGTCAATCACAAACTGTACAAGGATGAGAAAGAATGATACCATAACGTACCGAAATACGTACGTTGGCGTTCGTGTCAGTATCCGGAACACCAACACAAGGCCGGCCGACGTGCGACGCGGGGCTTTTGGTTGGGCAACGATTAAGAACCTAGTTCAGCGGGGCGAGCAAATAGACATTAGGAGAAGGTAAAAGACCCTCCCTACCGGTAAATAATGGGAAGGAGAGCTTGAGATATCTTCCGGCTATTGGAATATATCTCAATCCAGGGCTCTCCCTCCGTGGGTGGATGACAATTTGGGGAAAAGCCTTCGTCTTCGCGAGCAAAAGGGCAAGCTAATTCATTCTCTCTCCAATATGCGTTTCATGACTGGACCAATAAAGGTGGCGTTGGCATTCGTATGACCGAATTGGAACCTCGGTATGGTAGCAATTGACCATGCAGCCACACTATTGTTGGTAAGCTGACAATTTTGTTCATTCACTCCGATTTTGCCGAGAGACGATAACATTTCTTCACCATGTTATATCGATCTGGATGCGGTTGGCATAATCGTGCAAATCAAGTGATCATGCAACAAGGCCATACCCGCGTCCAACTTTTCCCCAGCCTCTTTTGCCCGATCTCCCATGATACTGGACGTTGTGGCTGATGTGCGAGTATCCCATGGAATTGCCCGCTGCACTCGGCGATACACTGTCAGCCAAGGTGCCTGGTCGGCCCCAGGTCCATTGCTCCTTAGATAACACTGAATTACTGAGACCATTCATTGCTGTACAGCAGTCCGTTCTCAGAACTAGATGGAAGAAGGAAATCTCCTGGCCCCAAGTGGATAATCGATGCTCCTATGTTTGCGTTACTGTGGCTGTCGCTTGAGATTTGCTCATTGCCCAGGCATTGTTCACTTAATCCCGCCTGCTCCTCGACTGTACAGTAGCTTTCTTGCTCAACTGTTTGCGCTCTTTGTTAAATATGATCGCTCTCTTTGATGCTCCATATCAGTGACTTTCGCATCGTGGTGTAATTCTCTGTGGGCCGTCATCCGGACATAAAGACGGGAAAGGGCGATTGGTTGTATCCGCACACGGCCACGAGAGATTCTTCAAGCAAATACGACGGTTTAGTGAACATCCATTTGGGCTGTCAGGGACCTGACCGGCGTCATATGACCCGCAAACCTCCTGAAGTGCAGCGCCGGAGGCGCCTGCACTTGCTTGCTGCACGGAGTGCAGCTTATTGTTAGTTTAATACACTATACTATTCCATGTATTCTGTGCCTTACACCATCTGCCGACACCGCTTCCAAAGCATGGCTTGACTTGGGGAGGTACGCCAGGGAAGTCCTTACAGCCCAATATACCTGTCGCTTTATTCTTAGTTTTACTTCTATATCTCTTTATCTTTCCCTTCTTATACAACAAAAAAAATGTAAGTTGGTTACCTCCGTAGACCTTTGATCTATCTGCATAATATTTTCTTTTTATATATGACCTATATCATTTGATCATATATCATCTCTTCTTTCTTATCCTAGGTCATTCGACAAGCGTTTCTTTTTAAAGCCTTTTTTATAAGAAGTTTCCTTTTACCTTTGTGAGTAGGCTAAGGAATCCATTTCTCCCATGCGGTGAGGTGGGCCAGGCTGCTATGAGGATCCTGGGGAGTCCTCTGTATTTTGAGCTCTCAAGTATGTGCTCGGTCGTTCTATGAGCTAAACTAGCTTCTAGAGATAGGAGCACCAGCCATGCCGAAGAGCCAAAGTTATATTTCTAATGACCATAAATTTTACTAATGTCTGATAATAAAAGTAAATCATTCTTTTGGCGATGCATTAAAAAAGCTACTCTGCCTATGGACCTGCCATGGCGCTTTGCTTTCGGGTTCAACCTACCCCGTCGGTTGCTTCCTTCATACTCCTCGAGATAGAGACCGTAAAAATGCGAAGTTTCTGGTCCACGTGTGGGTGACACGAAGTTATTTTCATTCTTTGCGATAGGCGACAAAAATATCATGAGATGTGCAACATCAACTGATTTTATAGACTTCGCACCAGGAATACACTACGTATTATGTCTACGCAATTTCGACATATGCAAACATATTGCCTCTTCATCTAATCGGATTCCGATGTTTCTCCTCCTCCCTCCCCCTGGATCAGCGAATTGCTAGTCAAACAAATAGCGTGAAATGTTAGTTTCTGGAAGCCCTTTGTGACAAGGCAAGTTCCAAAGCCAACATTTGGACTGGTTAATTATCTTTATCTCGGCGTCGTATGGCTCGCTATTAGACAGTGCGCGATAAACAAATACCTTTCTATTTGGCTACAATTCTGGGCTTGGTATACTTTCTCAGATGTTCAACCAGGGGACGGTCGATATTCCTGTTTGGGTACGGTTGATAAAACAACGTTCGGCAATACAAAGAATTGTCGGCGTACGTATCAATGACCGATTTAAGACAGGAAAATATATAACATTTCCGAGTGACACCGCCACCTCACCAGCCACTGAAAGTAATACGTTGACAGTGACGGAGAAATTACAGGGCATCTGTTCCATCAGAGGAAGTGTACGCACCCCCCAAATATCGAAGGTGCACCTGGGTAATTTGATCCGTTGGGCTTGTGTTAGGATTTCCTTCGGCGAGGGTCTTGGTCGCACGGGCATCTCATTGACACAACTTCTATTCGCTAATGACCAGAACTTGTCCACTAACAAATGAGGTTTCCAGACGTTCCTCAAAAACTTGAGACCATGTTCTAGATCGCGCGGACGAGCATCCCCATTTCTTTTAGCCTCATCGTTTAATTTTCGAAACACTGCACCTCCGGAGACAAGATTTGATCATCCAGTCAACTGGATAATACGTCGTTTCCAATGCCGTGTTCTACATAACAATCCTCTCTTCCTGAAGCTCTGGGCAATTGACATTTCAACATTAAACACACCGCGCTAGACCTTGCTTCGATACATTTGTTGCCAGTAATTTTGTTACTAGCGCTAGCAATTTGATGATATAGTAGAATTTATCTTCCTCGCTGTAAGTCATGGACTATAGACAAAGTTGCAGGTTTTACTTGGTAGAGAAATCACGAGCCCACCATTGGGAAAGAAATGGTGCAGATTACCGGGCATATTTCAACTAACGTTGACCATTACGCTGGTTGTTTGCATTTTGTGGCTCGCATGCACCGTCTTCCCCTTCATTAGTCACGCATTCTTTACCCGCAACGCGACATGAGTGAGCATGTAAATGTTGCGCGGGCATCGTTTCGTTTTCTCTTAGGAGCGACAGACCAACCTACTTCGACATGCCCTCCATTAAGGTGCATCATCCGCGAGCGCCCACCTACCAAATGTCCCCGGCTACGTACTATTAGGTATTCTATCCGCACAGATAACCGTGTATGTTGATCGGAAGACGGCCACAGTTCAAAACAACCAAGCTGACGAGGGGCATTCCTGGCGATCGGTCCCTCAGGTCCCACTCCATCTTGCCCGGACGTCCAACATCCATTGCGTTGACGAGTAAGATTCAGCTTTCCCCGTGTGCTAGGGGGGTTGAGCATTATCATGTCGCGATGCATGCCATCATAAACTTGGTCAAACAAACATCACGGCGTCTTCGTCTTTCCATGTTGTGGCCGTGTTGTCGACGAGATACCCCGATCAATGTAATTAGTTAACATGCGGAGCTAGCCTATTCTATTACTACTTTCGCCCAGGTACTCCCTTCCAGCTCTGGTCGGCAAGGATCACTGAGTACCTGGCCTTCATTTCACCGGCTTTGCCAGGGCCAGAACCTAACCATCATCTTCGCCGTTTGCAAACGCTCCTTCATTTTATTCAATTCGCTCTATTCGAGTTCCCCCACATTGATTGGCTTTCACACTAGGGAACCGCCAGTGATCAGTACAAATTGAACGTCCCAGTGACCTTGGAGTAGTCCAACCAAAGTTTGTCTTTCGGTTCGGGAACACCGTGTGAGACATTGAAGTTGTCTGAGTATCGAATATTTCCCGCCAAAATCCCAAAAGTCTCGTATAACTAGCCATCGTACTTGGTGCTTCCGGGGATCGGTACTGAACATCAAGGATTGGGTATTTATGCCCAGGTAAATACGTAATTCTGTCCGACCAATATTGTTCGCACGAATGATCGCCTGCTTTAGCCATCGGGCCCCTAAATGGAGATACCATTTAGTCAAAGTAATAAACAGGGGGGAAGTTGGGGTTGCCTATTAACCATCAAATATGGTACTAGCCACAAAAACACATGAACCGAATGAAATGACCGAAGCGTGCAAATCGAGATCTTGTTGAACGCCGAGCGAACTAGACAGCTGCATTAGGTACGTTTTCCCCGGGCGCTAAATAACCAGATCACCCGGGCAAATGTGGACTTGAAACAAAGTAGAGAATATGCTCATCCAGCATTAAACATTTTTGCGCTAAAGCACTAGACCCTGTCCGTACTTCTTTCGCTGGGCAATTCTAGGCAATGGAACAGTAAACGGTAATGTCTTTCAAAATAATCTTCGAGCAAACGTTGTATTCCTCCAATCGCTTTGCTAATATTACCGCTAAGTACTCATCGCAACTTCCATTAAAATGTCGACTCTGTCCAAAAATCACGGTTCACTAGTTATGAAGGGCCGGTTAAGCAATGTTGTGGCCTCGGCTATGATTTACATGGCATGCTCGAGGTGGTTCAGGGGCTGGATTCCCAACACTGGCCAAGTGGTTCCACCAACCATGACTTCTGGGTATTGGGCGATAGCCAGAAGTCGGGCTAATAGACTGAACCAGGTTTTAGATCAATTGAGCTTCAAATTAATGAGAAATTCCAAGAATTTGTTCTGAGCTGAGGGAGTTGTTTTGGGGAAGGGGGATTCACGAGTATTCCCGGATTAATACTTCCACCGAAATGCCGCTCAGCTGACCGTAACAAGGGACAGTCTGACCACCAACTTCGCCATGGAGCTTTCCATCTTTTCCATCCCTTATTCGCGGTAGCGATGAGTGGAAGCAGCTCTCCAGACTACAAGGCTCTTTTCCTCAAGGCAGAGGAGGAAAGGAAGCGGGAGGCCGAGCTGAGACGGCAGGCAGAGGAACGCAACCGACCGACGACTTTTCCAGAGTTTATCCAGCATTGCCACGATCTCCTTCGGAGGCCACTCCGAGCCCAAACACCGTCTCGCTCAACGACAGGCAGAATTCCCGCTCCTATCGGAAAACACTGTCCCCTACGACTGCGTCCGTGGACTGACTGTGAGCATAAACAGCGGGAGATTTACGAATCTGTTTGCCGTTACCTGCAGCCAGTAGGAGAAGACGCATCACAGTTATTCACGTCACTTGTTGCGTTGGAAGACTATGGTCGACGATTCGCACGTCGACTGATAAGTAGCGAACAAGATCTCGAGACCTACGAGCGACTTACCGTCGAAGACTATGTGTACGATATTGTCGCCGGGTTGTGCAAAATATCAGAGTCTCGCGAGGAGTTCCGGTTAGGCAACGGAGTGTGGTTTGATAATTACGCTAATGCTCTGGAGGAAGACGATGAAGTCGATGCTAGCGAGTCATTAACCACGAACCCTTCGAAGCCTGATTAATTTTGTATCCATCGAATGGACGGTAACAGGAGTACCTTTGCTTACCACGGTCGAATACAAACCCCCATACAAGCTCTCCGCTGCGAACCTGCGGTTAGGCCTCCGACCGATGGAATTTTGGTGAGAAGTGGTCTAACCTGATCGTGTTCCGACGGAGGAGCCAGAGAAGTCAAGGTATCACGCCGAGCAGCTGGTCGGATTAGTCATCGTCCAAGAATTTCATGTGATGATTTAAGAGGGTCTGGAATATTTATATCTAACGAACGGTCTGATGGACGTGCTGCTCTGGGTGCCCTACGATGACCCAACTACCCTTTATTACGACCTGGGTGATCCCGGTATATACGGGATAGCGGATGCTGGAGGGCCTACAATTCCCAGGACTCGCATTGAGAGGACGCTCTACCTCTGTCTGATGAGTTTTCGCACCTTTATTCGTGATCAAGCGTGGCGGAATGCCGCACAAGACAGTCTACCGAAATGGCGCACGAGTTATGATAGCGATCGCTCCCAGATCGTAGTAGTGGATTTACCTCTGGATGATGCTAGCTCCGATTTTGCTAGTCCTGAGCAGACGACCTCTGAATATCTCACGTTATTGTCTCCTATCACCGGGCCTCGAGCGACCACACGAGCGGCCGCTAGCTGCGCGCCACTATCCGACCAACATCCTCGAGGGGATACTTCTGATTCTGAGGCTGATCCTGCCGCGCCTGCTGGACAGAAGCGGAGGTTCAGCCTGATCACATCGTCCCCTCCAACCCAACGGCCCGCATCCCGCGCAGATCGCCATGGGAACCAGAGCGGGCGATCTCGCTCCCATGATGCTCCATTTTGCACACAAAGGTGCCTTCGCGGGCTACAGCAAGGCGGCCCTGTTGATCCTGCGTGCCCCAATACGGGCCTACATATACTTGGCAGAACGGAGGACCGCCATCCGATCAGCGCAGTTGACTTGGTGAAGATGCTTAAGGCACAGCTCGATCAAGATCTAGACCATAACTGCACTCCCATGGGCCCTTGTGGGTCTTGTGGGAAGTCCGGCGCACCGTTTAGGATTATATGTTCCACCCTCGGATATACTGTTGTCGGGAAAGGGACGACTCCGAAACGCTGGCGTATGGTCTCACGCGAAGCCGAGGCCTACGGGGTCCTCAAGGATGCCCAAGGATCGGCTGTTCCCGTCTTTCTCGGGGCGATCAATTTGGCCCAAACCTACTTCCTCCACGGCGCGGGAAGGATCCGTCATATGCTTCTGATGGGCTGAGGTGGTGAGAGCGTGAGCCATAATACTCTGGACAGGGCCATCCAAAGAGCGATTTATCGGTCGGTGAAGGAGATCCGCTCTTTGGGTGTTGTTCACCAGGATCTTCGTCCGGACAACATCCTGTGGAATGCTGAGCTCGAGCGAGCCCTGATCATTGACTTCCATCTGTGCACCTTGGACCGTCGACCGCTGCATAAACGGCCAGGTGCTCTCAAACGATTACGGTGTGGTCGTGAAGAACGTCACTCAAAGCGGGTTCGTGTGGTATGAGAAAGGGCCACTTGAGACGGGTATAAAGCACTAGAGCGATGTGGGAAGTCAACCTGCTCTACGCATAGCCTACTGTATATAAGTTAGCTAATCATCTACCAAGCGCTCGCTCACAGTGAGTATATCGGCCATGGGGCTCAATGACAGCACTTGTATGACATGCACACGTAGTCTTTTCGCCGAAAATACATCATGTGCGTGTCGATGATACATTGTTATCGCACCCTCTGCCGCGAGCAGAAGAGCCATATATTCAGAATGTGCCATGAACTCTCATCCCTGCTGCGACATAAATAGGTCTCCAGTTCTCTGGAGCTGATATTCATTCAATACTACTTTTAGGGTTGTGATATCTCTAAAATACAGCTATCCTTAACACATCCATAATTAATTTCAGACCACGTCTTATTCCTTGATATCTTGGCACTCCAAATCGAATGCAAGAAAGCTTGGTGATATCAAATAGAACAAGCCATTTGACGATTATGTGCGCTCTAATCTTTATGATCTACTTGACGGGACGTCTGGTTACTAACCCGCAAGTTTTCAGCTATGGTGGACTGCTTATCGTCGGCGGATTATCTGCTTTGGACTAACATGTTAGCACCACTCTGATTAATACTCAAAACATAGACGCTAAATCGGCAGGAGAGTTTGGTCGCACTTTCAAAGGTCTTAAGATAAATACATCAAGGGTCTCTGGATTTCAAACCTTACAATATCCTTTATGCTAGTCCTTTAAAGCCAGCCTCGAAATCGCCTTGACCAATATAGTTACATATTGAAACTCTTTCCAGGTCCTGCCGCCAAGACTGTAGCGCGAATCTTTTATTGATCAGTATTAGTCTTTGTTAAGCTCAGTGAAATGCGCCGCGTATGTTATAGTACATAATATGAAACACAATAACTAACTAGTTAAATTGTGGCCGCGGGATCATCACCTCGCGCAATCGAAGGAGCAAATTGCATGAAATGACTAATTGGAGTTAAGGACATCGCCCATCCGTTGCTAGACGGTCGGTGCGAGGAGCGTAGCAGCACAAGCCGCTTGGCAAGTGCCATACGCACCATTACATGCAATGATTGAGGCAGGTGCAGATGCTCCTAAGGTGGCACCCCAGGTAAAGCCAGCAGCTGAATAGCATGCCATCACCACGGCTGAACATCCTGCTTGACAAACACCGTATGCTGCTGGTCCGGCGAAGGCACTGTACGCCAGAAGAGGGGTTAGGATAGTGCTGGACACGGCTAACCTCATCTGCAAGGGGGTCGTGTTATTTATTATGTCCATTTAATAAAAATGAGAAAGAAATACCCTCTTACCTTCGGATAATTTCGGATGCTGCGTTCTATTCACCAGGCTCGATAATAGGTTGAGTGACATGTGAAATGTGTCTGATGGGGACCGTACAAATATATGCGTCCTACAGGAGCTGATCACCTGAGCCCTGTCGACCCAGAGCAGAGGGATGACCACCTTGGTTTCATGGCTTCCATGGGAACCTTGCATTTTAGTAGATCAGAATCTACGCCAGCAAATAATTGGATCTACATTCAGGCTTCCCTTCTGTCACAGTTTGGCTTGTTAATGTAGCAAGGGGTGTGGGGACCGTCTTATTATGAATTGTAAATAACATGGCGCTCACAATTGACTCCAAAACGTCCCTGCAGAACGTGTTGAATTGCTATTTATCTCAGACAGGGACGAAGGAATCAGTGAGCCGTGATGGGCAGTAAGGACGCCATCTTTGGCAGACATCAAAACCTTGCCGATACACCCTAAGACGGTGAATAAGGGCCTTATGATACATATTTTATTCACCGTTCCGTCCACGCCGTCGCTTCTACATCGGTGGTACAGAGATATTCCACGGAGCGGGTTTGCAAACCTTGTGAGGCTGGGTTCGTGAGCAATTGATTAAAGGAACTGCCAGCTTCTATTTTTAGGCGGATTTAAGCATTACCGTGTTAATGTAACCAGCGTACTAGTAATGATACCTGTCTTAACTCCAAACCAACAGATGTCTCCTGCTAAGCCCAACTAAAAATGACGCACACTTAATGGTCTGGCTCCAAGGATCATACCCACATGTGTTTGAAGGTACCCATGGCCTTTACTTCGAACATCACAAAGTGCACCTAGGAAAGGCAAGGGGTTGGATTGGAATGGCGAATGCAAGGGCCATGGGTATTCTTCCCTCTTTCGCTCGTCAACAAAACCGTCATTAGTCGATTCGCAATCAGGCGTACGGGTTGTAACCAGCCCGAGGAAATGGCGGAAATCCTCGTAATCTTTTAAGGTCCCAAAATACAAACTCCCAGCAAACAACCCCAGCCCGTGAAACCTGTTATGGGTCACATGATCTTCCTCTTTCACCCTACCAGTGCAAAGAAAGCGGAGATCCTCAAACGACTGCATCCATCTGCTGGTTCTCGGGGTGTAAACATGCAGTGTTGTGCGTTTTAAATGGCACACCACGGGAATGAGCTTATCTGCTTCGTACTGGCTGAGGAGGAGGATTTTAGAATCGTCGACGCTAGAAAGCACCCAATGAACCGGCTTCAGAAAGTCATCGGCCAGATTGTTACCCTCTTGTTCGATAGTCCGGATAAAATCACTTGTTGCGTATAGATGTGGGGCCATATCTGGAGGTAAATCATATTTCCCAGCGGAGGTTTTATGCAGGTCCTCAAACGCAGGTTGGATATGGTTCGAGGAACTACCGTTTGGAAAGACCCCATGCTGTGCGAAGTGGTAGATATCCTTATAGAGACGGTGCTGTACAGGCGCGACGGCTTGTGGTCGGCAGACTTGTTGTTCCCTCTGTACTTCATGCGAGATCTGTCTCTCCTGTTCTTCATGCAGCCCAGCGTAGCAATTCATATCACCACTCACTCGAATAAGCTCTCGGACCATGTCATCGCTCTGATCGTGGCCAGGACTGCTCATCGAGAAGCGAGCAGGGTCCCACGGAGCGTAAAGCTCGGACAGCGTGCGTGCTTCTGGTTCCTGAATGTGCTGGGCAACCTCTTCCAGACTTTCACTCTTTACCAAATCATTCCACAGCCTAAGGCGTTTATAGTACTGTAGCCCTTGTGATGCCCACAGTGGGCTTAAGTTCTTCAAGGAAGCGCAGGTCTGCCCGAGCGCCCACCTAATCACATCGGCTGAAGTCATGTGGTGGACATCTACCCCTATATCATGACTGACGTCTGGTGGGCAGATAAACATCACCGACTGGCCATTTCCTAGGCCTCGCATTCTGCTACATGCTGTATCTACCAGTTAGCCCGTCCTAATTGTCCTCTCGCTCAGATGTATCACACTTACCCTGGACGAGTCGATCCTTGGTGAGCCGTGGGCCGAGTGTGACGGCTGCACGATACGTTCGGGGTAATTTAAGATCTACTCCACGAGCATGTTGCTGATCTAAGAAGACCAGACATGATTCCATCCTATAGCGAAATGGTGATGCCAACAATCGCTCAGTGTGTCCTTGGCGATCGATCACGATCGCTTCGTCTTTCTCATCGAAGAATAACGCGCCGTCCGCCTCTGGAGTCTTGGACAGCCAATATTGCGCAACGGAAAGGTTGCTGAACTCCAATACTTGTGCACCAACATCTATTATGACACGGATGGGGGGTTCCTGGGCAATAATAAGGTCTATGAGCCGATATGCATCGAGGGGCCGTCCTTGATCGTCTTGAGCAATGGTGCAATGGCGATTTTCCGGCTGCAAAAGCCCCCTTAAAACCATGGCATTGGTGTGGAGAAGGTGGGGCAGATCACACTGGGGCACAGACTGCGGAAGGAGGGACCTATTGTCATTTGTTCCACTGAAGCCAGTGGTGAGAGGCTGGCCGTCCCGAGAAGGGAGATCCCATGCGGATGTGGACAGCTTGTAGGGAAATTCTTTGGCCTCCCTTGGGAACACCACACGGGAGAGGTAGAAATCTATAATCCCCTTCTGATACTGCAGGTGAGGATAGAGACTTTCGTCAAAACACCGAGCATCCTCAAGGTTGACGCCCGTTATTTCTTTCAGCCCTGGGGGAAGGGAAGAAGACCCTCTCATAACCCAGTGACAATACACCACTGAAGGATCGTTCTCTTTCGTTAGAAGCTGGAAGCAATGCCGCACCTGCTCCCGGGTGAGACCGTGGTAGTAATAGCTTAGACACGTTAGACTGACTGCTACATCTGGATGGCCGAATTCCGCATTATCCGATGGAATCCCCTTAGCCCGAAACGGGACGGCCATTAAGGTGCGGGAGGGATGGAGTCCATACTCCACCAACCATCTTTTCCCTCCGAGGACAAATCGGAGGATCTGGTGCGCAAGCAGGCCACGGAGGACGAGTAGCTTGCGCAGGTACATGCCGTGCGCGAGTGTCTTGCGGACCACGTTCTCATCCCGAGGTGCGACATCAGCAAATCGAATAAATTGAATGGCACTCCGCCGCAACTGCCTGGTCCACTGTGTGAAAGGGATATTGGGCAGACCATCTCGTTCCACGGATATGGCAACTTTCTGGATGAGTATGTCCAGCGCCTCAGTCTTCAAGAAATGGTATATTGGATATCGGACGCCGTGATGTGCAATGGCGATGCAAGTGGGATCATCTCGCTGTAGTTCCATTGCCTGTTGCTCTACGAGATCAAGCAAGGCCTGGGTAACCTCCCACCGGTCGCTGTGACCATCCATTGTCTGTTGGTGTCCCACCGTGTATATCAGCTGAAATTTGGGATCAAGCACCTCATCACTTTCGTCAATGACATTTCGGCACGTTTGTTGTAACCATGTTTCCAACTTTATAGCCCTTTCGGCGAGACTCAACCCTCTGCTGGCCAAGTCCTGCCCTACCAGTCGAAATGATAGAATATGTTCAGGCAACGTAATCAAGATTCCCTGGCGTGCCTGGCATTCTCGAAAAATCCCCTCCAGTCCTTCCATGAGAGCTTCGTCTAATGGGGTATCCCTGGAGAATGGAACATGATATACCGGTCGGTTCAGCATGCTACCAAGCTGGGTCAGAAGATTCACGCTCTGTCGTAGCAGAGGCTTCAAGACTATAACGCGTGGGAGTTGGCCACTGCGAGCAAGCGCCAAGACGACAAGCGGGGTGATAACCGACGTCTTTCCTTCCCCCATGTTCAGTTGAAGCACCGCGTTGCCGGAGGTATCGGGATCGATTTCTTGCATCGCAACCTTAACCTGCGCTTCTCGAATGGTGAGCTTATTCTGGATCTCAAAAAGAAGCCAATCAGGGTGTGTTTTCGGATTCCAGCCATCACCAGGTTTGCTTTCAGCTTCTTTGAAAAAATCATTCGCGTTGTGTTGATCGTAATGCATAAGAAGACGTTCACTTCGTTGCAACGCAGCAATAATCTGCCCTAATAGTAATAGAATGGGTTTCCATTCCTCAGGGACCAGTTCCCACCGTCCCCCAGCAAGCAATGACAGAATTGAATATACTGTTACTTCTGGCCACAAAATAAACCCTGTAACCCCTTTCCAATGCACCTTTGGTGCCATCAAGGTGCAATAGATGTTATGCCAAAGAAAGTCACGTTTTTTAACCAAACATTGGCGGTACTGGAGAAGAACCTGCCGCACACCCTCGTCCGGAAGCGAAGATGAGCAGGGTAGCTTCGCGTCTCTCAGAGCTTCGAGGCTTTCTAGAAGACTCTCCCCTAACTCTCGACGACATCGGTCTTCTCCGTTATAGAGTTCCAGGATCATGGATTTTAGCTCCGGGTTTTTGTCATAGCACTGTGGAGCATAGGACCTGGAGAACGTGACGGGAGGGGGGAGTACCGGAAGATCTATTATTGGATGAGAGAGCCGTAACAGACCAACCAGATCTGGCAGCGGAATGGAGGCGGGGACGGGGGATGTCTCTTCTGACGGAGGCTCCGGCAAGTTTCTGTACGTGAACCCGGAACCTTGCATAGTGTTCAGCCGATCCTGGACTTGCTGAATGAACCTGAAAAACTGTCGATTTCGGTACCAACACGTACAAAGTTTCTCACAACTCGTTGATGCGCGGGACGACTGAATCTGCGGAATATCCGGCAGGTAAAGACTTTCGCACGGCCATTGTTCCGCTATAGCATCAACACACTGGCCAATATGGCTTCTCTTCTGGCGATGATATATTTGCTCTTCTTCCGCCGCTTGATCTGGGGGTTTGAGAGTGAATGCATTGAACGCACGGCTCTGTAAGGCTGGATAGTGAATGTCGATTGCGTTTTCGATATCAGCAACCACGATGTCCTGACCACGGTGTAATTCTAATGTTTTCATGTAAGGGTGAGTGGGAATCGGGAGATCCCCAAATTTTTTGGTGAATGCAACCGCTAGAAGTGGCTTCACCTGATTTAATTGGATCTTGCCGCCGAATATTATCACACTAAAAAGAGACATGAAGCTGTACGGGTCCTTTGTTCGGTCGCTAGACCGACAAAACTCATACAGAGCACCCCATGCGTCTTCAAGTGATAAATCCAAGAGGCTAGCGTAGGTACAGTCCTGAACGGACCAGGATGACGTGCATATATATCGCCAACTTCGGATGGTTTCGAAGAGACCCTCACAGTCAGATGTCAATGAAGGCCAACTGCGAACGAGCGAAGCTAGCTCATGAACACGGCGGCTGCGGTCACTATCAAAACTGTGGTCGCGAGCCTTGTAACATACTGTTTTTGGGCCTGGGACAGCTTGGTTACCGTGCACCTTGGCAGGCCAAAAGTGTGCATGGCGAGCACGAGCTCGGTCAAGCAGATACTCATCTCCGTGTTGGCGATAACAGTTTACTGCCGCATCAATTTCTTCGTCCCGGACTTGGTGAAGTCGGGAGAACCTGCTTGTATGGTCCACAATCTCTTTCACAACGGCCCTGAAGTCATCATGTTGAGCCAGCTCTCCCAAATCGCTGTTCCACGCAACCGTCTGCATTGTTTTCAGATGGCTCGGGTAATAGTGACGCTGCGGGGTGAGAGAAGCAATTCGCTGTAGAATGTGTATGCATTCCATTTCGATGGGGAATGAGCCTCTCAGCCATTCCTGTCGCAAGATCCTGAGGGCTTCCTCCGTTCCAGATCTCTCAGTAGCAGGGTCCGAAAGAACAAATCCCGTAAGTGCATGAAGATACGCCTGGTATAGTGTACCGTAGAGGTCATGAGGTCCTCGAAATATTTTTAGATGGGGATCGAACGTGTAGCGAAAATACTTGACGCGCCCTTGATCTGGTGGACAGATGGATACAACGGTATGTTGATCCCGTTTCCATAATTCCTCATTGCCGCAAGGTACCAGGACAGATCGGGAATCCCCCTGACCAATGCCTCGGAGTACCAGTTTGTTCTGGAGTCCATAGAAGCTTCCGACATCTTGTTCTTCGTCAACAGTTGCATTGAGCTCGCGAGACTCAAGAAAGCCGTTGTCATTGACGAAGAAGCGCAACCGCAACCTCACTAATTCGACTTCCACGGTCCTCGACCCCCTGGTGACCACCTTCATATATCGTGGATGATCAAGGCGTCTAAAGATCTTTGCTAGCTGCTGAAACAACTGACCATGAACGTTGATCAAAGTTTTTTGTTCCTGTTCCATTGTCCCGTGCTCCGAGTGTTTCTCAGCCAAGGCTAGACGCCAATTGCGTGGACTTGATTCCCAAATCTGCTCCCGGGGGCGGAACTCCAAGACTCCATTCTCATCTAGCCAATGAACGTAGTTACGGACTAGATCGTCTGGGAAGTCCCCTTCCAACTTGAGCTGAGGAATGAGACGAAGAACGCGGCCATTGACTTCTGCCTTAACAACAAGCTCGTCGCTCTCCATGCCAAAATGCACCTATCCATACAAGTAAATAACCAGTTTTATTCCTTGGGTAGTTAGTTGGCTGACCTGGTAGCTTCCGAACTGTCGAGATGACATGAAAATGGATCCAGGAAGATTGGAAGGGACAACGCTGATCGTTCGCTACTATCGTCAGCAAACCACAGGGGTTGTTATTGGGATCAAGATACAGCCTCACCGGTCCGAACACCCTTTGAAACAAGGGATCTTCCGTGTAATTTTTGGGTAGCCGACCAGGGGGTGCATTTTCAATTAGCAGTTCTCCGCTTAAAAGGTTATAGTGCACGCTTTGCCTTCTTCCCGATGGTGACGGTGAGGATTGATTTACAGCCCAGCGTGCAGCGTTCCAAGGACAGAACTCCCACGGTGTGTTGAATTCCAACCTTGGTGCGCTCTTTCTGATTGCTTCAGCGAGGCCAGATGCACCGTCGGCGATAAGCCATCGCACGCGGTGCTCAATGCTGTGCAAGACCTTGGACGTGCGGATCAGAGTCGGTTTCAAATGATCAGAAGCGCGGTCCCAGTTTCGCGGAGAATTTTCAAAGACAATAACTGAGGATCGTGCAAGGTAGTACAGGTCGTCTTGGCTAGACAACAAGGTATCGAGGTGGTTGGTCTCGACCCAGTACGTCAGCTGGCAGACTCCGCCGACCTTGGCAATGAGTGACTGTCGCATGTCGCTCTCAAGTCCTGACTGTTCGTCAAGGGACAGCAAAAGCTCCTCGCACCATTCCATCGCCGTGCGTCTGCTTCGACGAAGAAAGTTCACTGCCCTTGCAGTGATGGGGCCCTGGGTAGAGACACTAAGGGCCCGAAGGCCTAGGGCCACCAGGACTTGCAGAGCATGGTATTGGTTCCAATTGGTCTCGATGGATTTGAGTCGTCGCTCCAGAGTTTCCAAAAGCCGATTGATGAACGAGTTGTCTTCTAGTACCCGGTGGGCTTCGCGGAGGCTTGTTCCTGGGGAAGGCGTTCCCAACTCCCATGCGGCCTGGCAGAGTAGTATGCCTACTGACTCTTCATTCAAGGACAATGCTGCTGACGCCAATTCTCGAATGATGTTGTACCACTGAATACGCTGTCCAGCCCGAAGACATCCAAAAGCTATGAATTCGTGGAGGCTTAGTCGGGGATGGCAGTTATTCTGGTCGGCAATCACGTGGTTTTCAGTGTGACAAAAACTGTCTACTGCGTATTGTAGGTGCGAATATGAAATTTCCGGGATATCAAAGATGCAATGACGTTTCACACTGTGCCGACTTTCCTGATCTGTCACCCATGAGTTATTTTTGCTGTCAAGAAGCCGGAATTGGAAAGCATTGGGACGTGACAGGTCACTGAAGTCCACCGGGAATGAGCAGTGTTTGTAGTGGCTCCTTGACCAGGACTTTGTCTTTGACCCTAGAGTGATCCGCTGTCCCCATTGCACAGCAAACCTTGAAGTCTTTTTGTAATTGAGAAGGTTCTGCTCCATGTCTGATGCTTCTCGGGTCGACATATGACCGAAATCATGTAGCAGCTTCCAAGTCACATCTCTCCATGAAGCGAACCATGCCGGACAGGCCAGTTCAAAAACCACATCCTTAACAATGTCTGTGTTCTGGGGTAATGGCCACTCATATATATCAATACGCATCGATGAAGCTTGCTTGCTCAGCGCGCAGCGCCTGCAAGAAGCATCGTGGTATGGATTTCCTTGGCGGTCTATCGGCCAATCATGCTCAAGACATTCAACTCGCGACAAGATATTCTCGTATTCGGCGGACTTATCTTGCCACTCTTTGCGCTTCTGCTGAAGCTGGGAGTGAGCATGCTCCTCTATCCGAGCTCGCTGTTGTTGTAGAGGATCACTGCTATCAAAATAGCGCTTTGCAAAATTCCGAGGTTTTGGGTCCTCCAGTATGCTAGGAAGATCACGCTCTTTGCCCTTATGCCTAAATCGGATATAACCTTCCACGTTTCTTGCACGATTCATTTGACTCACTTGCGGGAGAAGCAATGGCTCGAGGAAATCCGTCGGGATCTCCGGCGAGTAGTCCATGAGCCGTGGATCAACACCGGTGCATATCTTATCAATTGCAACCCACAATTCAAGTAAAGCCAACAGCATCCCAGACACAAATTCTGGACATCCAGCGTATGTCTCGGATGCAAACTGATAATATCCTTTGAACAGACTTGCTAACATAGTGCAAAGCTGCGCTGAAGGCTCATTGTCACGTAGCCACTGCTCCAGCATTCTCTCTACCCAGTCTTCGAAATCTGAAAGCGATAAAAGATCGCCATTGTTGAGAATTGGGAGACCATGCCTGTTCCGTTGGGCTCGCTGTTCATAGTCACGTTCGAAAATGGAGGAGTTCGACTCGACAGGGGCTGTCGCTATTGCGTCACGGAGGTAATCTCCGCAGCCTATCAAGGACATCTTAAGATCGTCCTCACGAACATCAAAAGAGCCAGATACGACTGTCTGTTCTGAGGTGATAATATCACGTTGGACCTGTTGTAGATTTCTCATGACGGATGCTTCCGACGCCTCTACCTGCTTGACAACATGATCAAGCACATTCTCGTCCAGCTTATACAGGCGGCGACCTAGCTTAGCCCGTATCAAGTACAGATGATCTGGACTCACTTTAGGCCGCACTTGAAGTGCAATCAAGCCAAGCTTAGAAATCAAATACAGGATGAAGTTCTTGTACTGCACCAAGCCTTTGTCGCCATGGAATAGACGCATGAGTACAGTCTGAATTGCAACCTTCATGACAAACCAACGGGGTGACCGCCTCCAGGGCAACTCGGCGTCTCGCAAGTTTACTTCATCCCGTGTATTTTTTTCAAAGACTGGCCATCGTTCATATTCGCCGTATGCTAATAATTGTGACATCAGGCACTCTGTGATTAAGCCAGGATGGATGGTATCTCGCTCTTCGTCAACCGAGACCTTGGCCTTTCTAGTTTTTGACTTCATTTGGCCAACTTCTTGGGCGTGTAGCCGAGAGAGCTCTTTTGATAACCAGAAGCAAAAGCTGGGGTCATCAATATATCTCTCTGGTATGGCTACACTTGAGCCGGGGAAATGGCGTTGGAGGCTCCCGGGGGCGGAGAGCACATCCGCAGAACGAGGCGACACTTCGAATGCATCAATAACGATTTTATTGCGGCGATGATTGCGATAAGCGATCCAGCCACAGTTCTGGGCGCGAATGTAGAGCGCCACAGCCCCTTATCCATTGAGTTAGCCACGTTTCTTAGGGTGATCAGAGAGCCTGTTTACCGTGGACTCTCAAGTGGGCTATAATGCGGGAGAGAGTGTCTCGGCAAACAGAATTCTTTTTGTCGACCTCTAACCAGGTTGTCATCATATTACCGACAATCTTCAGCTGATTTTTGATGTCCTGTGGACTGTCCTTGATGAAAGACCCCCATTGCTTCTGGACAAATTGATGAAGTCTTCTATCCAGCTGCCATTCCATGTCTTCCTCATCTTCATCTCCATATTGGAGCAATTTGGGGGGGAAGACAAGATGGCGAAAAATATATTCAAAAGATTTTGTAGTCATGGCCATTTTGTGCATGGTGAGACAATAAAATGAAGCAGAAAATTTTTTTCTTTCTTTTCTTTCTTCTTGGATTTACTAGAATTTATTCACAGATATTTTTGGTACTGCTTGCTTTGGATTATCTTTCCGAAAAAGGACTGAGGAGCCATATCACAGTTCTCTGTCTTGAATTTATATATACATCGAGTTCATACACGGAACACACGTGCCACTCTCAAGTAGTGACGTCCAGATGTTACATCCATGATTTCACCAGGCGACAGCAAATGTATCTATGAATCATTTATTTCATTCATGTTCTAGTCGAGTCATATATGACGTCCGCCAATCAAAATGACGACTTCACCACGATGGCTGACCTTATCAGTTATCATCGCTATCAGAATATCGGGCGTTATCGGTATTGCAACTACGATAATCTCTGTATTCTTATGATCATATACAGGAGGTTTTAAATGAGAATATATATTCAGAGAGAGCAGGCAGTTTTTATGTTCAGACTCTCTTTTATTCGGTTTTGACCACTACATTTATATTTATGAGATAGACGATCTTTATATGCCGCTTATGATGCGTTCGGCCATTCACTATAGCCACTTATGGGTCATCAATAAAAGCCAAAGTTGGGGGAAAAATGAACTGTATTTTTATGCATCAATTAATTAATAATCAAGCAGATAATGTAAAGAACGTTCTGGATGCCAGAAGCTTTAACTTCGTTAATCTGAACACTCATGAAGATCTTGAACATAAGGGGAGAAAGTCTTTAACAAGATTTCTTGGAGAAGCTGATAATGATGTCGCTTCTTCTCCAGATTCTGCTCATAGTGGATTTTACTTGGGTGGAACGCTGCTACTACCGGAATTTCGCGCCTCCCAAGAACACATGTGTGCACCTTGCCCTCTCGCGCCCGGCCCATTGATGAAAAGAGAGCTTGCGCCAAGGGATGTTGTACACGCCCAAATATTGAATTCCTCTGCCCCTGGTGTGGATTCGTGACGCATTGCATGACGACAATAGATGGTGGATTAAGTGCCTCAAGAATGTCTTGAGTGATCTCACACGATCGAAAAATCAGATGTTCAGCGGACTGTCCACCATGGCCTTGCCGCAACCAGTCGGTGCTTAGCAATGAAAATATGTCCAGTATAGGAACGTCGTGCTCGAGGCTTAGACCAACACCACCGAAAAAGCTTTTGAGCCACAGTAGCGCTGCATTTTTCGTAAACATGTCACCAAAGTCTCCAGTATGGCGGTCACAAGGATTCATCATCACACAAACAGGAATTCCCCGAAGGCCTTGGCCTAGTCTGGCAAAATTTTTGAAGCAGTTGGATTCCAGCATGTGCTCCTTTGCAAATCTTCTTCCAGGCGAAAACATTTCATCGTCCGCAAACACACGAGAGAGAGAGAGTTCACCTCTCCAGCCATTTTATCAAATGGAAAAATGTCTTCTAATGAGCCTTCCGCAGACTGTTGTTGAGTAACTTCCAAGAGCATGGTAACGGGGTCGCGTCGCCAACTGTCGTCCGGGCCGGTTGCTCTAATATGACTTACGACTGGAATGGCGAGATGCTACGCTGCCACCATTCCAAAACGTCAAGACTTTACATTGACATCATATGCAATTCCCCATAGTTTCGCCTATCTTTCTATAGGGCGAGAGGACGAAACCGGAGATCTGGTTACACTGAGCGATAATTGACGCCCACCATTAACTAACGCACCGGTATTCCACAAGCGAGCGCTGCACGCCCGCACCTGTGTATGGTGATTGTATCCCATACCAACCCAGCATTATTTAGGCCCCAATATCTAGACTGAATTCCGTCTAATCTGCTCTATATTCTTAAATTAGAATATTTAGATATAATAAATCTTAATATTAACATTATATAAGATATGTATCTGTAAATCTTCAGGTAATATATGTTACATTGTATTTTCACGTAATATACTCTGGACTTGTATTGCAGGCCAAATTTGATTTATATATAATAACGTTAGAGTCATATACTCTAAAAGTATACATATAGTTATTCTTAATATTTTATTACGATTAAGCTAACAGTGGTTGAGAGATTAGAGCTCGAATAATGGTGGATTAATAATTTAGTATGGCCCATGGGATACACAGGTGCGGCGCTCGCTTGTGTGCGGCGTCCGGTAGTGAAATACGTTAGCACCCATAATACTCGATACACCATGAAGAACTTTCAAGGCCCAGTCGATTACGCTAATATGACATGCACTGTAGAAATTTTGGCACCGACGTTTACCCCAAAGATATGAGCATAATCGAAGTGACTTGACAAATGACAATACATAATGTAACGCTTCATTAAATTGGGCCGGGAGCCGTCCGACCTTGCAAAGAGCGGACCCACCTGAAGTCATCGAAGATGCCCGCTTATTTTTTCTTGCAGTTTTCCCACTAAGCCAAAAAAAGGTCAACCCTTCTTGACTAGGGCCATTTGCACAATTTTATGCCCATCGCACTTCAACATCTTTCTTCCATTCCCGACATCCAACATCCACTTTGTTGACGACCAAGATTTGACCTTCTCCATGTGCTAAATATTCTCGGTCATTATCGTGTTGCAGGATTCCAGGGGAGACAGCACCAAGATCTCGAGAGGGCATTGCGGCCCCAGTCGTTGTGCATCCAATGATCCGTTTAGACCGTAGGATCTCACGTGTTGCCTCGCTCCACAACTTTTCTCACACCTGTCCAGTCTACTCATTAGACCTTGGACGTTGGCAACCTGTTCTTTAAAGCTTCGGTCCAAGATTCCAGTTTTGTCTGGCGAGCCTTTTTGCTTGTTCGCCAGAACTTGATCGGGGATATAAAAGTTGAAACAAGTTTAATCTGGACGGATAGTGATGACAAATATAATGTCAGCGTACGGATTCAGTGAGTATGGTATATATGAATGGCCTATGATTCCATGGACATAAGGTAAACCACAGCAATTCATACATTGGCAGATTAGCGGTCGACAGGACCACACCTTTGATTACTACACGACTTTTATCTTCGTGCGCTGTTCCTGTGAAGTTCACTTGGGCTTATACATCTCGTCTGGGAAATAAAATTTATTTGCACAACATTCGATCTCTTGCGTTTGATTTGAGAGGCGACGGGCGGCCTTAGGACTTACATTCAATTTATTTTCTTTTTTTTGGCCCACAAAACGCCCTAAAATTGACTTAGACATATTGGCGGTATAGCGCGTGTCTATAGCCCATGAACAATATGCTGTGACTGGACAATACTGTAACCTAAAGAAGTGGTATATCCACCCCAAAAAGGTGGAAATTATCTGCAATATTTCAGTCAATAGAGCAGATATGTTATGTGAGAAAGCTGTCGTGTACATAGGCCCCAAGGTCCAGACACAATGCTCTGTCCTAGATATTTAGGCTTCGTTCTTACCAACCAGGGCAGGCATGAGGAGGCAGATTTCATGTGCCGAGAAGACTTCAAAGGACAGGAGAAGGTGCTAGGTTCAGAGCTGCCAGATACGCTGTTCTACTCAAGTACGTCTGGAACCGAATCAGCCACCATGTATTTATATTGGTTACCTCATTCTGGCAATGTGGTACTCCATAGTAACCTTGCATATCACTACTACGCTGATGAACGGCTGTACGCTGAAATCTGCAGAGCACATTGTGCCTCAACACGTAACCCTCGTAGCCTTGTCTACTAGAATGCCAATTTTTGGAATTAACTCTTTTCCCCAAGCAGATTGGCCGTGTCTTGGTCGCGAATCAGCTAATAAGTTTGAATATTCATGAATCGCAGTTTGCCTTAATATTCCTGTTACCGACCTCAGATTTTGTTATTAAATACTCCATAGATTTTTAAATTTGCCTATATAGCTTAAGGACATATGGAGACGAAAGTACCTGGTATCTAATTCTTGGGGTGCGGCGTAGAGATAAGCTGATGACACGGAAAACTGTCGGGGAACTCCTGGAGGGGGAGAAAAAGCACGGTGTTAGCCAGCGGTAGTACGTTTGAAAAGTCGAAACCTTTACAATGTAGGCGATTATTGGCTGTATCGCTGGGTCTGATGACCCCGCCCAACCCACTTACCCCGGACGAAGTGGTGGGTGGTCTGAATAAATTATTGCAGGATCAGGACCGAATCACCGCGTGGTCTAGGGTATGACACAGGTAAATATACGCGCTTTCTACTCAGAAATTTCTTCTTAAGCAACCCGCATGGTACGAATCCATCGGCGGACGCAAATGCTAGCACTAGCCCACAGAATACATTAACTCCTTCCATGGTCACACGTTGTCTTTAACAATAAAAACCCTTCAGCCTTATAAGATTAATCGACAGATGGATAGCCCCGTTCATGTCGCCGAAAATGCATCAGGCTTCTGTCTTGACTCCGCTATTCACGTAGCACCGACTGTTTGCGATAGTGAGGACCACAGAACCGTCGACACTATAGTTCAATATCTCCTACGCGAAGTACCGGAGTTCCGACGACTGTCCGATCTTAGGGAAAGGGTCGGAATCGATCTTCTTCCTTTTTCAAGTACTCTGGGCTGATTAGCTTTATAGGGCTGGAAAAATCCCAAGGGCGACCGCTTTTTCGAAAAGCAGCGCCGGGATGCTGATCATGCCGACAGGAAGACAGCCAAATACTTCTATAAAATGATGAAAGATATAGGACACGATATGCATCGACTTACTGGCGTCTTCCGAGTGAGAACTACCGGCTCAGATCCCCCATGCATTCTGGATATGTGCATGGCACCAGGAGGGCTTCTTGCAACAGCATTGAGAGTCAACCCTGGCGCCCAAGCTGCGGGATTCAGTCTGCCGAGGCGCAAAGGAGGGCATGAAGTCCTTCTATCCGATCGATCTAGATTATCACTTAAATTCCTTGATATCACTCTGTTGGCTGCAGATATGGGGAGGCTTGGCATCCCGACTGATCATCCGGATGCTGCAAATCTTTTGCCTCGTCAGCTCACCGCAGGGCAACGGTTTGACCTTGTGATATGTGGCGGTCAGGTACTTCGAAGCCATGAAAGGGAAACATACCGTGAGAACCGAGAGGCGAGCAGACTGACATTGACACAGCTGGCACTTGGACTGGAGCACCTGAAGCCGGGAGGATCCCTTATTGTTCTTCTGCATAAAGTAGAAGCCCTGAATACTGTACGGCTGATATACACCTTTGCCTCCTTCTCTTCTGTGCGCTTGTATAAGCACATCAGATTTCATGCCAAAAGGTCTTCATTCTACATGCTGGCGACAAATGTCCGAAGTGACTGTGAACAGGCAGCTTTGGCCGTCAAAGAGTGGAAGGAAATTTGGGATATTGCGACTTTTGGAACAGATGAGATGTATCGTCAAGCTCGTCAAGAGCGTGGGCTACATCCTAATCTCATTGTGCAAGAATTTGGCCCTAGATTAGGTATGATGGGCAGGCATGTCTGGGAAATCCAAGCAGATGCGTTAGCAGATGCGTTAGCAAAGGCTCCTTTTCTGAGATAGGGAATCTCTTGGTGGGGCAAGGTTTATCGCACCCCCTAGGAAAACAAGCGCAGCATTATTCAGTTGGGTAATAGTGACCGGGGTAAAGAGTCCCGCAGATTTAGAAGCCCCAATCGGCCTCGCTAAGAGTAATTGTAAAACATATGTTACTCAAATGAACTTAGCAACGATATAGGGACTAGTTATTTCGCAAGAATCGTATTATATTCTGGTCAAAGTAGTTTCAGTAATGTTTTCTAACCATCATGTTAGAGCTGTTGTGGAAGAGAAGAAAACAACCGCGGCTTGTAGGGCAGATCACAATTGAATATACTCCGCTTTGAGTAACGTGGCGTCAATTCAGGCGATCATTCAAAATAGCGACGTATTTCCCGCGTTATGAAAATTGATACCGTCTAACCTACCAAAGGAATGTCCGTGCCCTCTAACTTCCCTCCGCATCCCCACTATTAGCAGGTCGATTTCCGAATCTATCTCTGTTTCCTCAGCTTGGTTCGGTTGTATTCATACCTCATTATACTGTAAGCCACACTGTATACTAGGGTGGTGGGTACAGAATCAGAATAAATCCATAACTGGCGGTTAGTAATCTGTAATGAAAGGCGTACAAGACCCGGGAGAACGGGATTCACCAAAGTTGACCGGGCGTGTTTACTCGGGTTTCTGAAAGAAATGCCACCCCGCCTTTAAAAGCGGCATCACCCGAGATTGTCGAAAGATGCCCTGGTATATTTTTTCCACTCAACATCCAACATCCATAGAGTCCCGTCCCGGTTACGCGATTGCGTGTTAGCTTTCGTCAAAGACAGCATCGTTCTCTCCGCGGCTGACTACCTCCACTTTTCCCTCCAAGCTCAGCTGCCTCGTTCAGAGCATGAAAGCCAATGGCGATCCTTCGCGGTGGTTTGTTTCCAGCCAAGACCAATCTATGCACATTCCAAGCACACTACCTGGTCGGGCTGTGCCTCCCATTTCGAGACGAGGGAGGGCGACGGGGAAAGGGGAGGGGGGAATGCGTGATTTTCATCATTGGTCACCCGCGCCAGCTGAGGCAGGTAGTGACGTACTGTCACAGGTCACATCGGCGACGGGCGGTCGAGCCCACGGCCAGTGGAAAATTGACGCAAATTTCAGGCACATTAGCATGATGGCTGCGCAGCACGCCACATTT